TCTTTCCCTGGTTCAGTGCCCGTCGGTGTCTCTTCCACTTTGCATTGTGTTTCTCCACCTCTCTCTCACCGTGGAGTGAAGCAGCCTCAGAGGTGTCGGGTATCTTCCAGCACAGCCAGGGGCACAGCTTCTGTGATGCTACCCCTCTCCATCTAGGCTGTTTACTACAGTAGACTGCCTTTGGGAAATTACCCGAACTGCCTTTGCTCTGCAACCGATTTTTTCTAAGGGGAAAAACGAGCACAGTGGCGCGCTATGCTTTTACGCATGAAGTTGGAATCAGCCTCGATACATTTACGCACGGCCATGCCTCGTCTCTTCAGAAGATGCTGCCGGGCTTATGAGAGCTTGTGGTAAAAGTGAGAAACGATGCGGGGCACAGACTTGCTGCTCGGTTACTTTCTGGTGAAAGTTGTGATGTGCAAGGCGGAGGGCGAACTGGGTCAGACCGTCGACGACTTCATGATAGTAACCGGGTTTAACGACTCGAGGGAAGGTGAGAGCGGCACGGAGAGCCCGCACACGGAGGACAAGTGTCGCGGCTACTACGACGTGATGGGCCAATGGGACCCGCAGTTCGGGTGCAGGCCCGGAAGCTACGGCCCCCGCCGTTCGTGTGCAGGACCGGTAGCTACCTGTACTGCTGCGGCACATGTGGCTTCAGGTTCTGCTGCGCGTTTAAAAGCTCCAGGCTGGACCAGAGCACCTGTAAGAACTATGACACCCCACCGTGGATGATGACAGGCCGACCCCCACCGAAAGTGGACGTGGCAGGGGACATGGCCAAGGATACAAACCTCATTGTGTATGTTATATGCGGGGTCGTGGCCATAATGGCGTTGATCGGAATTTTCACCAAGCTGGGTTTGGAAAAGACGCACCGCCCGCACAGAGATAATATGTCAAGGTAGGGTGCAACTTTCCCAATGATAGTTTTTGTTTGTTTGTTTGTTTGTTTTCATTAGGGCCTAGAGATTCTGAGAGGTTCTGACATCACACCGGTTTCATCTGCATCTAAAAGCTTACCCATCAGTGTTACTGGGTGAAGTAACTCATGTCTATGGAATAAAACCCAGAGGTGGGAAGTGACTAAGTACATTTACTCAAGTACTGTGTTTAAGTACAGTTTTGAGGTATCTGTACTTTGAGTATTTTCATTTTCTGCTACTTCATACATCAACTCACTACATTTATTTGAGAACTTTAGTTACTTTTCAGAATGAGTTTAATAAAACAAAATACAGTATTATCACAAAGCTTTATTGACCCTTGGTTTAACATTCACAAGCTGCCCAGCAGTGTGCTTATAAGGTTGTTAACATATCAATTTACTGCAACATTAAATGTGATGTACACAATAATATACCAATAATTTTTATCGAATAATATGATAGATATCAATGTGCCAGTCTGCACAGTGAGAACATATACTTTGCGTACTTGAAGTATGTTTCTATGCTAATACTTGGAACATTTTGAACGCAGGGCTTTTACTTGTAACAGAGTATTTTTACACTCTGGTACAGCTACTCAGTTCTTCCATGACTCACAAAACCCCACAATTACATCAATACCAAGCTGCGAAGCAACAAGTTGTTTAGGTCTAAATAAAACTGTGAAACACCCTGGAGTGCACTTGAAGTACATTTTAGGGAATAACAAGATTAAGGCATAACAACAAGTTTAAGGCATCAATTTCCTTCTAGAAACATGTTTGATAACACTCAGCCTGCACATCCTGCCTACACAACAGTGAGCCATGCACATTTTCATTGTCAGCGTTACAGAAAGAGGTATGCTTTGATGTTCACTGCGTTGTCGTGCGACTTCAGTTGGAAACTGACAGTTAATGTTCAATGTTACAAGTGAAACAAAAAACAAGGTCAGTTTTGGTAAAAACTGTCTACCTGATGTACATCTGCCAACGCTTGTTTTTAAAATACAAGTTAAAATGTAAAACCTGGGCACAGATAGTCAACTACAGACGTGAGCATCAAACATGCAGACACTCTCCATCTTTCTCAAACACACCTAACACATACACACAGGACAAAAACTCAGGAGACTGACACACATCGAGTTATTGTTTTTATTGTTTAGCAGCTCAGCACTAAGTTGTTCTCTGTTTATCATGAAGACCATCATTCCTTGACCTAACCAAGCAGATTTAGCTCTGTAAACTGATCAGCTCATTTCAGAAATCAGTGACAAATGACATTTTTCATTTATGAGGACTTAGTAGCAATAGGGTGGAATACTGGCCTGCATCTGTCACTTAATTAATAACCTTTCTGAGATTTTTCTTAATCTTTGCAGGGCTCTTGCACACGTGATCCGTCACCCTGCTCCAGAGCAAATGGACGACCTTGGACTTGGCCAGCACTATGAGAACATACAAACCAGAGTCACAATTAACAGTCTCCGTAAGTACTGTGCCACCAGCAGCACACAGCGTGTACGGCTTCCTGACAGAGTGTAGACACCGGGTCTATGCTGTGTATTTATTCACTGATGCTGTGCTGCTTTCACTGACCACTGTTCGCCACCGCACTGGAACTTGACACAACCAACTGTAACAGTTACTCATAATTACCTAGATTTTTGTATCCTAAATTAGCTGTGTAACCAGAAGCGGCGAGAGGAAGAAAAGATCCATATAAAATTCTTCAGGCTGGTGAAGCAATTAGTCATGCCCTTAGCAATCACTTAACATACACGCTAATTACCACCGACAACGCAGGTCTCTTTCTAAGCCAATACTTAGTGTATGCAGGGGCCTCACACATTTTATTGCACCCTCATTCTTTCATTCATCAGCACCAAGGCCTACTGCACCTTCACCCACACAGATACACACAGACAGAAAGTCTTTAATAATGATAACCTGCTTACTTCCTTGACAGCTACAGTAAAAAAAAAAAAAAAAAAAAAAGTCTCGGCCTCCCTCCCTCTCTCTGTAAGTCAGATAATTATGGCAAATGGTATTTTATATTTAACCAGACAGCACACAGAGAGTGCAGACCTTGGCCAAGGGCAACTCGGTTTCCACAAAATGCCATAAAAGCAATATTCCTATGATAGTTTGACACTTATGATTGCTTGACCATGAAAACCTACTGCTGACATTTGGAATGATGCTGATATTATTTTTAGTTTGAAAGTCGTTCAGTTAAAATGATGGACATGTCAGACATCCACTTCTTGATTTATGGGTAAAAAGGGGACTTCAGTGAGTGGACCGTGGGCAAAGCAGTGAAGACGTCCCATTTCTGCAAGCCTGTGTTCTTCTTGTTCAACAGCTGTGATACACTACTGTCTCCATTATTGGCTGATTGTTGCACTATAGAGTGGTGTTTCACATCCTCTGTTCAGATGTGTGTGTGTGTGTGTGTGTGTGTGTGTGTGTGTGAGGAGCACAGCCCCTCCCTCCTCTAAACAGAGAGCAATACTAGTAAAAATACAGTGGAAAAGCAAAGCAGGACAGTCTGTAGCAGAGTGAGCTGGGGGACAGAGGGTGTGGCTGCCCTGGGCTCATGGTTACAGAGGGGCCCACCTACCGGCCCAGTCTGCCTGACTGAACGTGCATTTTTGTTGTTAGTTGAATATTTTGGATAAAGTCTGTTTTGATTGCGGTAGAATATAAAAAGTCAGACTTGGACCACGTCTGTCTTTTCTGCAGAGCAGTGACAAGTCCTGGACTGGTGCCAAGGAGTTATGCAGCAAAAAGCCCCTGTGGGGATGCTGTGTCCTAATGTTATCTGATATGGCCCCCGCACTTTGAGTCAGTTTGGCTGCCGGTGTCATCATGCATGTCTGCTGTATTTCTGTTTCACTCCTTTTTCAAGGGAACAATGAAAGCGGAAAAAAAAACATCCATGTCAGAAAATTTGTGAAATCAGCTTAAAATCAAGAGGAGACATGTCATCATCATTACATACGTCAATCTGTAGAGAGAGAGATGCCAGGTGTCAATCTTGAGAGATCTCTGTGTGCATTATGTCATAGAATGTGACCACAGCCCTTGAAGTGCAGATGCATGTGTGCTGTCTCTCTGACTTGCGTAATGTTTAAACTAGCTATTCTGTCGATATTAGTCAAAAAATGTGGGAAAAAATACAAGTCGGGTGGACTTAAGCATAAGAAGGAGGAACAGAGGAAGAATCTTGTGGCCTGTCATTAGGTTCTGATAGTGGAAACACTACTACGACAAGCTACACGCTGCCACTGCAACGTGTCCCAGCAAGGCGCTGTCCAGGGAAATAAAAGAAGGAAATTTGTTTTAACAGACTGTAACTTTGAAATATACTGACTTGAATTATCTTAGTGAGACCGCTGAAGCTGCATCTTGAGCCTCAGACAAACTTTGGAGTGCATGTTGTGTAGTGTGTCCCTCATGTTTTGCAGTGAGGTCACTGTGGAAACGTTCAGGGTCAGAGTGGAGAGCAGGAGAAGTGAAATGACCATGATCTATTCTTACCTACACAGGGACACATCAATATTGTTTTAACACCAACTTGCAAAATCCCAAACTATTCCTTTAATATGTTTAATTTCAGGAAAATATCATGGATTTTCGAGCACTATGGACGGCCAGGAATTTGCATATTCTCATTTCAGCTGAGGCGTACAGCAGGTGATTTCACTAATTGGTTTAGAAGGTTTGCTAATTAGTGAAAACACCTGGTGTAATCTGTGGCTGGAAAGAAAACCTGCCTGTTCTTGGCACAGACAGCAGCTGATTTTCATATCATAAATTATCTCATCAGGCATTATATACATATACATACATAACCAGGTTTTTATTCTAGTATTTTCAAAACAGAGTCTAGTCCTATAATTATTGTAAATTGATCAACTCAAATCCAAGTATATTGAAAATTAAATAAACCCAAGACAATTACAGATGAGCAACATTCTTCTTCAACCCAAAGTGTCCACATTGTTTAGATTCAAAAGTACTCGAAAGTCTATAGAATTTTGCAAAATTACAGGCACAAAATTGCCTAAAACCCTAAACTGACCTCAAACATAATTCTTGATGAGTGAACACAGTAATCCAGGGAATCTACACTATTTTAACTTAAAGAAATGTTATATAATCAGACAGCTCTTAATGGCAGTACAATAAAGCTAAATGTAAACATGACACACACACACACACACACACACACACACACACACACATATACATAT